GTGTTCACACAGTGCCCATGAACCAGCCCATGTAACCTTCAGCCAATTCTTCAGCATATCCAAGGAGAACATGGCCCTTTTGTGTTCTCTCCATGACTCTGTAGTTGGCCATTCTAATCCTACTTTGTAAATCCTTTATGTGTGACACATACACAAATACACACACACACACACACACACACACACACACACACACACACAGGCACACACACAAATTAAACCTGACCCTCTGGTGAACCCTGACACAAACTGCCTCTAGCTACCTGTGCAACCTCCCATGAACAATTTCATGTCTCACTCATGTGAAAAATCCAAAGCAGAACTGTAGCAGTGCTGTGCCAAGTATGGGGTAGTTAATGTAGGTGTTGGTATGAGGCCCACTGTGTTAAAATTCTGTCCACTTGTTTGTCATTGGAAAATGGATTAAATGTTGGTGTCTTGTCTCACACAGCTATGAAAATGAAGATAATTCCTAACTCCTACTCTTCTAAGAATTAACAGATGTAAAACACCACAGAGAGGCCCTGGTCTCACACCTGTAAGGGTTACATATGCTTGTTAGTATGTTATATTGACATGTAAACATATATTTAAATTATGAAGACATCAGACGACGGATCCGAAAGCACTCATTTCTCTTTAATAAAAGAAGGGCAACAACACAAATAACAATGGCATCTGAGCACTTGCTATAAGGTAGGAACCATGGGAAGACTCTGCAGGGTTTTCATTGGATCTTCACAACAGTGCCAAGAGATGAGTATTGCCATTCATCACAGTTTGTTTTTTTTAATGGAAAAAAAACTCGCGATATTTCAAAGCAAAATAAGAGGAGAATAACAGTAGTGGAAATTGAAGCTCCCAGAAGAGAAGCAGTGTGCCTAAGGTGTCAGGCCCGGGAAGATTTGAGTCCAGACATCTATAAATTCCAAGCCTCAGACTCAGTCCACTCCTCTGCTTCCTCTCACAGCAGGCCTGGGGCTCAGTCTCCCAGAAGCTCAACCTGCAGCCACACCCAGCGTCAGAGAAACCCTAACCCCACTGCCACGCCCACCGCCTCATTCTTGCCTCCTGGAGGGCTCTGCACCTCCTGTGTCCCAGCTTCTGGCCCCGCCCTTCACATCGCTTGGCCCCACCCCCTGGCCGCCAGTGAAGTTTACACTCCACCCGCCTAACCTGGGTGGCCCGTGCCCATGGATGGTCCCTAGCCACTGGCCTCCGCATTCCACTCAGTCCTGACCCAGCACCAGCCTTGCTTCACAGGGGATGCACGGAGTGGCCATTTTGCAGCTAGCGACCCCTTCTGGAGACCTGAGCACTCTTCCTCCCTTCCTTGGCCTAGGCTGTGGCTGGGCTGGGACTTGGGTCTGCGCCAGGTAGGCGGGCGACAACCGGTGTTGATTGGTGGCGCTGCCGGGTGGCCCCGACTTTAGTGGCGCAGGTGACCTTGGTCGGGGGTACGGTGAGGCGGCGTGCGCGGCACTGGGGCGACCTAGTCTCAGGTCTTCAGGGCTCTCTCTCCTTTCCTCCCTCCTCTCTGTCGGGGTCCGCATGGCCAGCCTGGCATGTGGCCCGGGATCCTTGCCCCCCCCAGGTGCTGTTGGGAGCCCAGCCCTGGTGTGGGACCTGTGGGCAGGGCGGCTCGGGTTCTCACATGGCCTCTGCTGTCAGTGAGCCTGGCCCTGCTGAGCAGCGGACATTTACCCCAATAGGACGATTTTATTCCACTTGCAGCTCCTCCTTGCAGACTGAGAGAGGACCTAGATGTTATACTAAGATAGCAGTTATTATTCTACCTACACATGTTGTGTCTGCAGTCCATTCCATTGATAAGGGCTTTCTGCTTTTTTTAATATTGGTCCTCTTGGGTGTTTAAGCTTTGTGAGGAGTCTGAATGTGGCATGGGGCTTTGAGGGAGGAGGAAATGTGATCAGCAGTTTAAAAATTTAAATCCACAAAAAATATAATTCACCCACATTGTTGAACCTGCTGTAGAATACCTTTCTTGTCCATATTCGGCTGTCTCTAACCATACTCCCAAGTTCTGCTCACATCATTTATGTATTTGCATACTGTTGAATATTTATATTACATGCATAGGTAGAGTTTTACTTAGTTATCCTGTTACTGACCATGTTCCCAAGTCTAGTTCCTCTTAGAAAAACTACATTGAGCATATATCTTTTTTTCTTACAATAAATTCCAGACATTGGAAATAGTAAATCAAAGTTCTGTGTTCTTTCCCTGGTACTTGATATGAATTGCTTCGTAGACAAGACATGTTAACAATAGACACCTTGCAAAATTTAGGTATTTGCCCAGTTATCTGGAGAAATTTGGAGTTCAGCAAGGTGTTAAGTCATTTTCTGTACCAGCTGAGAGGCCATAAACTAATGTTGGATTTTATTTTTAACTGATGTACCATGTTCATCCTTTTGTTTTGATTGATTCTATTCTGTTTTATTTCATTTGGTTTTATCCTCTTTACAATAAAAAAAAAACACTTACTTGCAAGGCATGGTGGTGCATGCCTGTAATCCCAGCACACAGGAGGGTTAGGCACGAGGATCACAGGGAGTTCAAGGCTAGCCTGAAATACTTGTTGAGTCAAGGTCAGCCTGCAATACATAGCAATACCTTGATTAGAGGAAACTAAAACAAACAAACAAACAATGTTTCCTCTTTTTTATTTTAATGTAGCACAGGTAGATATTAATAAAGTATGAAAACACTTTTATAAATAGATTAAATTTTTTCATACCGGAATAGTGCTTAATAAACTGTGTTCAATGATCCCAGGGATTCCTGTATGAGCTATATGACCATGCACTTTAAAAACTTGTTTTTTGTTTTTTTTTTTGAGACAGTCTCTAAATAATTTACTCTGCTCTCCAGGTTGGATTTAACCTTGTGGTCATCCTTCCTTTCCCTCCCAGAGTGCTGGGAGTACAGGTATAGGATACCTCCTTTGGTAATTCACAATAATTACAAATGTTTGTGGGGTAACATGTGCTTTTGATCTATGGCTCCTTTGTAGAAAGAATCAATCCAGTTAATGTGCTACCACCTTACTAACCTACAAATACTTTCACAGTGACTACAACTGCAAATCCCATTGTTTAGCAGATTTGAAAGCTATCCTTATTAACTGTGGTCACCATGCAGTTTAGTAATCATTGAAAATTTCTTCTCCATTGTTAATGAGACTTTGTATTCTTGGATGAAAATCCTCCTTTCCCCATCCTTCATGGAACTGATCATTCTTTAAAATCAAAGTGTGCAAGAAAGATGTGGAGGCTCAAGCTGCTTGGGGCACACTGCTCTCCAGAAAGACCAGGTGATGGTGTTCTGCAGCCCTTCATCTTGCTCTCAACTTTTTTTTTTCCTTAACTCAATTCTGGAAATTAAATGCAGGCCCGTGCACTGAACTGTCCTGTTTTTAAATTTCTTTTTTATTTTGAATCAGAGTTTGCATAAGTAAGTACACTGCTGAGACACAATTCTTGGGCATAGATACTTACATGTCTGTACGTGGACACACATTGATGTCAGAGACATTTCATTTTCAAAACCAAGATCCTCCATGCACACATCCTTCTCTCATCAGTGTATTACTTCATGATCAGATTCCTTTTCCTCTTTCCTTGTGGGCCCAGCAAGACTGAGCTCAGCATCCCTGCAGCTTTCCCTGGTTCTCATGACCCACTCTGATGCCTTGAACTCTCTATGTGGAGTGTAGCAAGGCTCCCAGTTTCCTCCTGTTTCAAACAGTGCAGTGGACCACAGTCTTGAACAGAAAGCTTGAAAAGTTATGTGGATCTCTGTGTGGGATAAATCTCTATTGTTAGCACTGCAAGGTCCAGGGACACCTGTGTAGAGCTGTGATGGGAGCTACTGGACAGGGCTCTTCTCTGCACACCATGTTCTCCCCAGTGATGTTCAGCACTTGCCTTAAAACCTGCCATCAGATGGGGACACAGCACATATCAGGGATGTGTGCCTCCACGAATCAGCTTTGAGAAGCTCAGCATTTTCTACATTTGTTTACATGTGGTGATTCTCTTTTGAATTACAAGAAGTATTCATCTCTCACAGATGGACTCATGACACCTCTTGTCACATCTAATACACACTATCTGTCTGCTGCTTGTAAGCAAAGATTTCTTATTGTGGATTCTACATTATTCTTGTTTCTGTTTTTCAAATGTAAGGAATCAGATCTTTCTCTCTCCCTTGTGCCACTGAAATCATGGAAAAGCTTTTCCAACATGGAAAGATGAGTAGATACACAATAGTCTTTACATTTTACCTGTAAGCTTTGGTCTACCTGGGATTTTGTCTTCTATCGAAGAGCAATAGCAGCCAGTCTCCTCTAGGAATATTTGGCCAAACATAATCTGATGCATGAATATTAAAGACCCAGAGTACTAAATCACAGTGTGAAAAAGTCAGAGTGGGTGGGGAGTAGCAAGAGAGTACAAGGATGCCAGGTGACGCGGCCAGCGCGGGGAAGGAGTCAGGCGAGAGACTGAAGACACAGGGAGACCAGTTGCTCAGGAGGCAAAAGGCGATTTATTGAAGGACTACATAGTTTTTATAATGTTTCAAAACAAAGAGCAGTACAAGTCACTTCAGGACACTTTCTTGTGCACACAGCAAAGGTAAACATGCTCCTGGGCCCGTGAGAAACTTCTATGTTGTGCAGCCCAGGAGGTAAACATGTTCTTGGGCCCATGAGAAACTTCTATTGTTTATGTTATGAAGCTTTTCCCAGGTTAATATCAGCGCGATGCTTTGTCTAGAAGGCTGAGGTCACTGTAGGATGAGGAACTCATTGAGGTCCAGCTTCAGTGTGTGGTTTCCCACACCCGTTCACTGCCGGACCCCTGGCTCCTGCTCCCAACATATCCCCCTTATTTCTTAGACAAAGCGTCGCATGGGAATTTCATTAGCAGTTGATTCTAACTTAAAACGTTTCAAGTCCAAACGCACATTTCTCATTTGCCCAACAACAGTTCTCACAAAATATGGAAAAACTGTTATCATGGTGATAACATGCTAGAGCTCCAATCACACAGATCTTTGTAACATATAGTATAATTATGATGGCACAAATGCCGTGAGAGTCCATATACACTTTTGCTTGGGTATTTTTGTCTACATTCTGGAATATGCTCAGGGGGATTACGTTTTCCCACTCTAGTTTCACTGCTGTTGCAAAATACATACATCATATCTACTCCCCAGTGCATTCCATTCGTAAAGTTTCCATCCCAATCAGAGTATCTTTCTATTAATGTAGACTTCTTATTTGTTTTAGAAAAACATAGGGGTAATGAAGCAGACATTCCAGTATAATTATATACAATAGAGATAGGTTGTATATGAGTGGAAGAAGGAAAACTTAAGACACGAGTATTATTTACATAAACAGTAACATCATTGTTGTCACCCCATGACATAGGGTGCAACAAAGGAGGATTAGGTACAAATGCCCAATAATTATCTGCCCACACAGGCATACAAAATGTATGCAAAACCCAAATAATGCTTAACAGTTGAGCCAAAAACAGAAGAGTTTCATCTCTTGTCGCAGGAGGTCTTCTGGTCGTTGTTCTCATCCTCGGTGTCATGGTTAGTCGAAGCATCGTCCTGCGCAATTTTTCTATCTTGCTCTTGGGCATGTCGTACACAGCGTTCTGGGATCCACCTGGGTGTATCAGCGTCTGTGGGAAAAACACAAACATACCCTCTTCCCCATATCAATACTGGGTCAGGGCCATGTAATAGATTAGTTAACGGATCTTTCCAATAAACCATTGGCTTGGAGGGCAAATCAGGAGACCAATGTCTCTCAGCTGCAGATCTATTGGAAGCATCAAAAGTTAAAAAATTAAGAACGTAAAGAGCATGGTTAAGAAGGGTTTTGGGAGAATACTTATACCATCTCCCCCTTTTTAATTTCTTTAATGTGTTTTTTAGTGAGAGATTAGCACGTTCAACAATTCCTTGTCCTTGAGGATTATAAGGCAGTCCAGTAACATGTTTAATATGGAAAGTCTGACAGAATTTGGCAAAGGGTTTACTAACATATGCTGGGCCATTATCAGTTTTAATGGATCGAGGAATGCCCAGGATAGAGAAACAATATAGTAGGTGTTGTATTACATGGGTGGCAGTTTCTCCAGTCATAGGTGAAACAAGCATGTAATGAGAAAAGGTGTCTATGGTAACGTGTAGGTATTTTAATGACCCAAAAAAAGGATAATGAGTGACATCCATCTGCCAGATGTCATTTGGATGGAGTCCTCGAGGGTTGACTCCAAAATGCGGTACTGGAAGGAGAGGCGCACATGAGGGACAGGTTTTAACAATTTCTCCTGCTTGCTGCCGTGTTATACCATATTGATAACGTAAAACCTGCTGTTTTCAGTACTATAACCAAGACAAATAAAATTTACATCATCTTGAGCTTTCTATAACTTACAATATACCTCCAACTTTTATCTTCTTTCATATTCTGGCATAACCAGACATTTTACTTGAAGACAAATCACTTTCTTTGTCCCTCCTTTTTACTATCACCAGTCAATTACCTTTTCTCTCGCTTCTCAGACAACATTAAAACTCACAACAAAACCCTTGAAGTCACCTTCTAGTAGTCTAAATCATATTTAATTATTTTATGTCTTTTTACCATATTAAAATGCTGTTTTGTTTTGTTTTGTTTTGTTTTGTTTTTAAAAAAAAAACTATAACCTTTTTACTGGCTCAATTACAGCATGACCTGGTTTTCACTTAGTAAAGTTGATATGATTCTTAAAAACCATACATATACACATATATGTGCACATGTTTACATTTTAACTAGAAAGAAAAATACTCTTTTTAAAAGGCATGCCAAGGTTGCAAGCAATCAGTTGAAGACTTACATATTAAACAAGGCGCCACAACATTAAAGACACAAACAAACAAAGGTTGTTTCTTGCACAGTTTGGTGAGCTAAAGGAAATAATTTTTCTTATCATGAACCTTGAATCTAATAAGCCATATGGATCCTGCAACAGAAATGGGCAACAAGCCCCTAAGTTAGTAACAAGTTTAAACAGGCAACCAAGGAGAGGGCATTTTTTTTTTCTCAGCTGTACCATCATTAATCATGTCCTTTTTAACCTGGAGAGAAAGATTGTGAGCTCACTCTCAAAGCTCGGGCCAATGGTCTAAGATAAGGGAGAGAGGAGATGAAGTTGTCTGGCAGAGCAGAGGGCGGGGGTGGGGGTATAAGGAGGATGTCACATTCTCTGAAGATTTGGTTTTTCTTATAAAACTTGTCTCGAGTTCTTTTTTCCCATTTACTAGACTCAGAGTCCCCTTTTAAACAGTCCTTAATTAGAGTCCAAATCGGAAACACATCCACAGGAACCTTCTCAGGACCCCAAGCACAATAATAATCTTTAATCTTTTCTCCTACTGTTTTCCAAGTCTCAACATTAACCGTTCCCTGTTCGGGAAACCAGGGGCAAACCTGATGCACAAAATCAACAAACCGATGAATTTGAAGCTTAGCTACAGGAATGCCCCTACTCTTTAACAAAGAGGAAATAACTTGTTCAAAAAGTTCCCATTCTGATGACGGGGAGTTACCCATTCTCAATCCCTGTGTATATGCCACTCCCTGCTACTTTCACTTTTCATTTACCCGGGTCCTAGTAGCAGTGGTCTTCTCGGAACTCCCGATTCTCCTTCCACTGGAAAAACGCTCCGAATGCTTATATTCCAAGCCCCAAGTTCGGGCGCCAAGCCCCACGTTCGGGCGCCAAGCCCCACGTTCAGGCGCCAAGTGCCAGGTGCCGCGGCCAGCGCGGGGAAGGAGTCAGGCGAGAGACTGAAGACACAGGGAGACCAGTTGCTCAGGAGGCAAAAGGCGATTTATTGAAAGACTACAGAGTTTTTATAATGTTTCAAAACAAAGAGCAGTACAAGTCACTTCAGGACACTTTCTTGTGCACACAGCAAAGGTAAACATGCTCCTGGGCCCGTGAGAAACTTCTATGTTGTGCAGCCCAGGAGGTAAACATGTTCTTGGGCCCATGAGAAACTTCTATTGTTTATGTTATGAAGCTTTTCCCAGGTTAATATCAGCGTGATGCTTTGTCTAGAAGGCTGAGGTCACTGTAGGATGAGGAACTGATTGAGGTCCAGCTTCAGTGTGTGGTTTCCCACACCCGTTCACTGCCGGACCCCTGGCTCCTGCTCCCAACACAAGGATATGAAAGTGTCCCAAACTGAGCAGAGTCCTGGAACTCAATGGATATGGAAATTGTACAAATTGGTGATGGGATGATGTGCTACTGAATTGAATATGTTGAAATGCATGATATCTTAACTTTTAATTAAAATTACCTTAGAATTTGATGTTGAGAATAATTATAGACATAGGAATAAAAATCAAAACTGAAAGAAATACAAGGGGATGGATTTCAAGAGGATGGGAAGGGAAAAGCAGGTGCTTTGCAGGACTTCGCCCTAAGTGGAGTTCAAGACACCTGTCATGGTGTGAGTAAAAGTGCCAGTTATGGAATTCCTTAAGACAGGGTGCCTGACCCTAATTTTCACTTTGATCCCAGAGCTGGTGAGGTCACTGGAGGTGCAGATGACATAGGCTCTGCAATTGGGACTTGAGGTTAGTCAGTACCAGCCCTGCAGCAGCAGAAGGAGAACAGTCACCAACTGTCCTTGCTACTTGCCGGCCCCAGAACTTCCCAGTGCCTGTCACAGACAACTCTGTGCACAAATCCACCCCAGCAAAGTTTCTCATTCAGATTTGACCAAATCATTTCTGCATGCCTCAGGGTTGCAGGATGTCCCGAGACTGGTAGTCTTTCTCCTTGTCAAGTGTCCCATGCACTCCTCAGAGGCCCACAGGCCAAAGCCAAAATCTTCTGAAGGCAGTGCTTACTTTCAGTGAGCTCAGGTTGGTCCAATTCAGCTGGGACATCTTGTAGAATTGGACACCAGCCTCCTGCTCCAGTTGCAGAGAGCCCAGCCTAGCCTTCTCTCTGCCTTGAATGGGACATTGCTGGCTGAGGAAGCCTTCCCCTGCTGATAGTAGTCCCTAAAAGTGCTGCGAACACCTGTCCTTCCCTCTTTAGGAAAGCATGAAATCCATCTTCCTTCCCATCCTTGTGGGGTTGTCTCTGTGAGAAAGAGAATGTGTCTGCAGTGTTACTCTACTTGTGCTTACTCTACAGGTTTGGTGCACTACAAATATCTGTGAAGTGAGTGGTCAGAGGGAGTGTGTTCTGCCTGCCATTCCTTCCTCTTCAGTTCATATAGTGATGCACCATTCCATTATGTGTGCCTTCTGGGGACACCTCTTCCCCTATTATGTGTTCATATATACAGAGGCCAGGAAGTTAGGCACATTCACAGTAAAGTGGGTAGTACCTGATCTGTTCTTTAGAGGGACTTGTGTCCTGGATAACATGGAATCACAAGAGAACAGGGGCTACATTTATTCTGGTCATTGCATCATGGTCACAGCCTAGTAAATTGGTGGTTAAAGGCACTCACCAGCTCCTTTTATGATGTCTGTGTGAACCTGTGTCCTATGGTATCCCCCAGTGATTCCTGCTGTGGATACCTTGGAAGGCCATGAAATGACTCTCTGGTGTGCTTCACAATGAAGAGAAGAGCTTCACCCAAGTGACAGATCCATGGTAGGAGGCCAGGCTTCCCCAAGGCTAAGAAAAAACAGCAGTGCTGACAGGGTCACAGCTCTGAGGAGAAAGATCTGGATTTAGACCCAAATCCTCCTCCTGACTTCCTACATAAACCTAGACAAGACACCATGCCTCAGGTCTTTCACAGAGTGTCCCCATGCACTATAGAGGTCATCCTGGCATCTACTTCCTAGAGACATTATCACCATTCTGAGATGATAATTGTAACGCCTGTTGGCTGGTGTCTTGTGTACATAGTGTACCGAATTAGACGTTAAATCCCGGAATGGGTGCAATGAATGTGGGATACATTGCTGCCTGGTGGTAGAAATGACACTGACATCCTGGACATATTCCCTGGTGGCATTGTGAGGGGGCAGATGTTCTTCAATTCAATCATCCTTATGTTCCCTAATCATCACAATCTCTGCTATGTACTGGTGCTATGGAATGGAGTCAGGACCTCACACAGGCTATGCAAGCACTATGGATGGAGTTGCACCAACAAATCTTCTGGCATTGCTTCTAAATTCACACCTGTGTGAATTAGCACTCCCATGACCTGACTCCTACTCAATGGCTAACAGCTGAACTTCTGATGCAACAAGCTAAGTAGCCCATTCCCAACATTATGGGCCTCACTTAGTGAATTGTTTTTATTATTATTATTGTTATTATTAGTGTTGTTATTTTGCATTAGGAGTGCTGAAATTGAGCGCAGGGCCTCATGCATGGTAAGCAAGTACTCTACACTGACCTCTCTCCCCAGCTCCTGACTCACTCTTAAATAACTGACAATGGAAGACATCATGTGATGTGAATACTAAGGTTCACGCATTAAAATAACTGTTATGCATCTTCTGTCCTTTCCCTCTTATGTTCTCTCTTACATTTTAATATTCATTTTTCTCCCTCTCTGGATCTCTGGCTATGGGGAAGCCACTGGTGTTTCTGAAGCTTGCAAGAGGAGAGGCTGATGAGCTTTGAGTGAGAAAAGCGAAAACAGTCCAAAAGACATCAGGCTTTTGCCTTGGGTACTGCCTGTAGACAAGAGACAGAGCCTGCGAGCAAATTCTGCCCTAGTGCCATCTCCCCTGAGCCTGTCTTCACAGAGATATGATGGTAGCAGACCCAGCAAAGCCTCCTGGATTCCTGATACACAGCAACTCTGAGAGAACAGAGTTTATCTCTTATATGAGCTGACCTGTCTTCTATCACACATGTCTTGTCATATTTTGAAAATGTATGCAATGACTGGACAGAATTTCACCTCTCTGCCTTCTTTCACCAATCATAATCAATAAAGATTATGTACAGTGAGATTACTGTACAGTGTTTTCCTATGGGTTTTCTTTAGTAGCTTCTCACTTCATGGTTTGCTGTGGTTTGTTTATTCATTCAAATGTTATTGGATGTTCACATTGCAGTTTTCAATTGCGGGAAACAAAGTTGCAGTGAATATCTTATAAAATTCTCTTCATGACATAGAGAGGATTGTATGCACAGAATCCTAAGATTGTCAGATGAGTTAACCTGAAATTAACTGCCAAAATGGTATCTGAAGTGAGTGTACCACAAGCGAGACAGAAGAAGTTTTCTTCGTGCACTTCCTCACCAATACCAGTGTTTTGAACAAAAATCAAAGTCTCCTTTATGCTCTTTAAAACATAAACAGGGTTTCTCTGGTGGGATGAATATTCTCTTACCTGATAATTGACAATGATATGAGGAATGTAGAAACTGGAAAGCATTCATGTGACTGCCAAGGGCATGTTGAAGACCTTAGAAGTGATAGAATTGTGAGTCTGCTGGAAGACATGGAATCACAGCTGGCTCCTGTGGAAGTCACACTGCATGACCCATGGAGTACTGACTTCTCCTGAAGTTAAGGCCCCATGACTAGGACAGTTCTTGTGAGAATTCCCTGGTATGGAATGACAGGCCTATGACTTGACAGAAGATGGAAGTGGAGGAGCCCCTAGCCCAAGGAGAGGGACTCAGGGGAATGTTCCTCTCTACCCATAGTACATGTGTACAATCTAGACAGCTTTGGAATATGGGAGCAGCCAAAAGTGTTAAAGCAAAATGTGAGTGAAACAGTCCCACCATGGGTGTTTTACCTATGGGAAAATGACAAAAAGAAAAGGCAAAATGCAATCTCAAACATCTAGTCCATCAGGAGCAAGACCAACCAACATTGAAATAGAGGACTTTAAAAGTCATAAATCAGAAACTTCAAAAGATAGAAAATGAAGTAAAGAAAGAAATCCATGAAGCTATAGAGGAAATCAAATTAGAAATAATGTTTCATGTAAAGAAATAACAGAAGTAACAACTGTAGTAAACAAGGTTCTCAACATAGCTAGAGAAGAAATAAATAAAACAAAAAAATACAGGAGCATGGTAAATTGAAACTATGAATGAACGATGTAGAAAACAAGCACAATCTATGAAACATATGCAAAGAGATATCCAAGCAACGAAAAAATATATTGAAAGCTGGCAAAGCCATTTAAATGAAGCTGAGGATAAAATTTCATAATTTGAGGACAGTATTGCAAGGATTGATCATGAAAGTGTAGAACATATAAAAATAGCAAAGCATCATGAAATGGCAATCCAGCAGCTTCAATATGATGCTAAGAGAAGCAACGTAAATCTAATAGACATCAGTGAAGATGCAGGAGTCAATGCAAATGACATAACTAAGCTATTCACATAAATAACAACAGAAAAATTTCCAAACATGAGGAAAATTCTGATATACAGAAAAGTGAGACACACAAAGTGCAAAACAGTCACAACAAACATAAGTCTATGGTCAAACATATAATAATTAAGATCCCAGACATACAGCTTAAAAACAGAATACTAAAACTGTTAGAGAAAAGACACAACTCAGCTGTCCAGGAAAGACTATGATTACTATTAAGGCAAACTTTACAGCACAAACCTTCAGTTAAGATGAGCTTGGAGTGAACAATTTCAAGCCCTAACAGAAAACAACTTTCAACCTAGACTGATGTAACTAGTAAAAGTGTCTTTCAAATTTAATGGAGAAACAAGATACTTTGATGACAAAGAACAACTGAAGAAATTCATGTCCACCAAACCAACCCTAGAAGGATTACTGAAAGACATGCTAGATAGAGATAAAAATGACCACAATCTCCAGAACAACAGAAAGAAATGAAAAGGCTGGGCAAGAAATTGAACAAGGGAGAAAAGCAGGAAATCAACAACAGGAATACAACATGGCAAAGTCAAGCCAGTACATATCAGTGATATCCATAATGGTAAATGGGCATAACTCACCTATAAAAAGAAACAGGTTGACAGAATGGATCAAAGAAATAGGACCCCACAATATGCTGTATATAACAAACACATCTTACTCAAAATTCATAGATTAAAAGACAAAGGATGGAAAACAGTTTTCCATGAAACAGGAACCCAGAAAAAAGCAGGGTAGCTATTCTGTTTGTAGAAAATGTGAACTTTAAACCTAAAATATTTAAAGGAGATAAAGAAG